GACCAATCCGATCGCTTGCGGGGCTGGGGACGCGGCTTGGCGCGAGTAGCATGGCCGGACGTGGCAAATGCGAGCAGCAGCCACACCCAATGGCGTGAAGATTGAAGCATCGTGATGCAGTTGATCTGGCTGGAGGCGAGGTTGGTGTAGGACTCCTGGTCAGATCAAGGCGGCGACGGGCACAGTGCAATTTGCAGATGGATGCTCGGATGACGGTCGTTCCGGCCGGCCGCATGTCGCGCGAGGCCGCCTAGTGGGAGAAGACGATGGCCTAGTCCATGGCGAAGTCGAATTAGAGACGCGCCATAGTGGACGAACGATGGGTGACGCAAACCGAACGTCGACCGGGAAACCAAAAAAGAAATAGGTACCCCCTGAAAAAAGGTGGAGAATAATTACAAACGCACATTCCCTGTGTTTTAATGGGCCGACCACTCAACAGTTTTATGACATTCCCACCATTTCTAATATTTATTATTATTCTCAAATTTACAAACTTTTTTTTAATTTAGAAACATTTTTTGAATTCACACATGTTTTCATAAATTCATAAACATTTTGTGAATCACAAATATTTTTCAAATTCATGAATATTTTCTGAATTTGTGAAAAAATGAATATTTTTTTAAAACGTGAGCATTTTTTCTTTTTGTTATTTTTTTTGAATTCATGAACATTTTGAAAATTTGTGAAAATTTATTTGAATTCCTGAAGATTTCTTCATTTTGCAAACATTTTTTAAATGCAATATATTTTTGAATTGACGTGTATTTGTTGAACACACACACATTTTTTTAAAAGGGGCATTCTTTGAATTTGTGAATAGTTTTTAAAATACAGGTTGTTTTTATTCATGACTATTTTAAAAATATATAAACATTTCGAATTCATGAACTTTTTTTAATTAAAGAACTTTTTTGTTATTATTTTTTTAAATGTGAGAAATTTTTTAAATCATGAATTTTTTAGTTATTCACCAAATCCTCTTCTGAATTTGACAAATAAAAATATAAATAATTTTAAAGAAGAAATAGAAAGAATGAAAATATAGCAGGCGCCAACATTTTGCTCTAGGCCCGGCCCTAAGTGCGCCGCTCCCATCGGCCCACAAAGGATATACTATCTCTCGCCGCCTCAGGCGTTCCCTTCACAGGCCACGACCCAGTAAGAGCAGCAGCGTTGGGGCGTTTTGAGTTTTCGGTAAACTGGGCAACCTACAGGTTGGTTTTTCTGGTTTTTATATTTCTTTTTGCCGGTTTTATCCTGTACATTTCTCTGTTGGTTTTCTATGTTTTTCTTATGGTTTTTCTGTTTCTTTTTTCTTCAAGTACATGTTGATCTTTTCCAGTACGTACCGCCATTTTTTTAATACACCTTAACATTTTTTGATGCACGTTGAGCATTTTTCAAATACATGATGGACATTCTTCTAAATGCATGTTTGAACAATTTTTTGAAAATATATTAATAATTTTTTAATACACGTTGATTTTTTTAAATACACATTGAACATTTTTTAAATACAGGATGAACATTTTATCAAATACACGTTGAACTTTTTCAAATACACGGTCTACATTTCCCGTATAGATGCTGAACATATTTTTAAATACCTGATGGACATTTTTACAAATACAT